AATAAATCAATGGAAGAGAATAGACTTCAGTGACAGACCTACAAATATTTAGTCATTTGATCTAACACAAACATGCCACTGGAATGAAGTGAAAAAATAATGTCTTTGGTAAATGGCAATGGAGCAACTGAATATCCTTGTGGAAAAATAAAATGAAACTTGATTTCTAATTTACATGACACAAAAATGAATTCCAGATGGACTAGTAGATATACATGTGCAAAGTAAAAAAAAAAAGTTAGAAAATAGCATAGGAGAAGATACTCATGAGCTTGGGATGGTCATGAACATTCTCCAAAAACACTTTTCAGAACAGAAAAGATCAGTAAAGTAGGCTTCATTAAAATTAACAACTTTTGTTCATTAAAAGACATCATTAACAAAGCAAAAAAGGCAATTTCTAGAGACGGATGTTAACAATATAACTAGTATCTAAAATAAGGGAAAAAAAAAAGAAAATCAAATGAAGTTGAGTAGAAAGAATTTAACAGGCACAACACAAAAAAAGGAACACGCAAATTATCAGTGTATTAGCTTTTCATGTAATAAGTTAATTTTTTCTCAAATTATGTGTTTTTATTTCATGCAAGTTTATGTTTTTAAGTTCTTGTTTCTCCATAATAAATACATTTTCATATAATATTTTTAAAACCCTGGAAAGTAATGCATAGATACAAAACCATCCATCTTGTACTATCTTGCCAAATGCCATAGCAACTCACAAGAGATTCAATTTTTACAATTTTATGTACCACCTTACAGGCATTTCAGAAACATTTTAAAATATGCTTGTGGTTACTAAAAGATTTTTCTCCTATTTTCTATTTATTTAATACTATAACCTCATTATTTCTCTATAGTATTCCATAATCTTCATAAACATTATTTTAAAATTAACATCATTATAATAAACCACAAGTATATGTCCTTATTTACCTGAATCTTAATCTGTTATATCCAATATGGAACTCTAAAGTTCCAGGAGTATTTATGTAACTTTCTACATTTACATTTTAGAACCAGCTAGTATTCCCTGCTAGTCCACCTACCATACTTCACCCAACAAGGTAACTCTCCTGGTCTTCTAGGACATTAGTGTTCTCATTATTTTATTAATATGATTACTATTCTGAGATGTTGTAAGGACAATGGTCATACAACAAACATAAAAGTTCTTTACAATGTAATATATGTGTTGTCATTAGACCATATTTTCCCTAGTCCCAGAAGTATTTATCATTATAATTTTGTACAGAGGGCATATGTAGCCATTAATTATTTTCTAATGAATAGAAGTCTCTTTCTTCCACAAAACTTTCCTCCTCTTTTTCCTAATCAATCAAATAGTTTTGAATTGGACCTTGCAAATGGTCTGGCCATTCCAAATATAAGCTAGTCAAATCAATTAATAAAGCACCGCAGATATTTGCAAATGGATTCAATTTTGTAAATATAGATTATATCAACTTTAAATGTATTCTTAAATAACATTGTTAAATACCAATGGTAAGAAAATAACTTGTATCCCCTATCACCAAACACTAATATTTTATCACATTATTTTTTCTTTAATTCACAATTCCTGATTATACTTTTCTGTAGGACCACTATAATTGTATTCATATTTATAATCATCAAACACCTAAAGACACATCTCATGCAGCTAGGAAGGTCCCATGGCAATTGCTTTTATGTGTTGAAAGAAGAAGAGAAAACTACTGAATAGCTTTGTCTAAAATTGTTTTCTTCATATAGGTTGCCACATTATTCATGATAGAGCTTTTTATATTGATGAACAGATATGAGCATGCTGGAGAGTTTTTGGTTTATTTTCATCTATATCAATATATTGTTATTTTGCAATTCAAATGTGGAAAGGCCCCAACATCTATAGAGTCACATAATGAATATAAAAACCAAAGTCAGTTAATCTAAAACAAGTGATATAATGTCCTTAAAAGTACATTCTTAAAGAAAATGTTTGTTTTTATAATAATCTAGAAAATTCAGAAAAGAATCTTACCATCAATTAGATAGACTTATCAATTAATTCTAACCTTTTTGGTTCTTTGATTGGATTTAAGCCAATGAATTAAGAAAATTGGAGGGTGGCAAAAAATTATTAGCCCCAATGTCCATCCTTCTCAAAATCAATGGTTAAGCAAGACAAAATGATAGAGAAGACATGATCAAAATGTATTCTGTAAGGTAAGTGTATATAGAGAGGTGAGTACCAATATTACCAAGATACTGGGGCAAAGGAGGCTATAAGGAGGCAACAGAAGGAGAAAGTTGGAAAGGGAGGGATGGAAAGAAAGAGAGAGGGGGAAAAAAAAAACTATCATCAGAGTGAACAGGCAACCTATAGAATGGGAGAAAAATTTTGCAATCTACACATCTGACAAAGGACTAATATCCAGAATCTACAAAGAACTTAAAGAAATTTATAAGAAAAAAATAAACAACCCCATCAAAAAGTGGGCAAAGGATATGAACAGACACTTCTCAAAAGAAGTCATTTATGTGGCAACAAACATATGAAAAAATACTCATCATCACTCGTCATTAGAGAAATGCAAATCAAAACCACTATCAGATACCATCCCACGCCAGTTAGAAGTGGCGATCATTAAAAAGTCAGGAAACAACAGATGCTGGAGAAGATGTGGAGAAATAGGAACACTTTTAAACTGTTAGTGGGAGTGTAAATTAGCTCAACCATTGTGGAAGACAGTGTGGCAATTCGTCAAGGGTCTAGAACTAGAAATACCATTTGACCCAACAATCCCATTACTGAGTATATACCTAAAGGATTATAAATCACTCTACAATAAAGACACATACACATGTATGTCTATTGCAGCACTATTCACAATAGCAAAGACTTGGAACCAACCCAAAAGCCCATCAACGATAGACTGGATAAAGAAAATGTGGCACATATACACCATGGAATACTATGCAGCCATAAAAAGAATGAGTTCATGTCCTTTGCAGGGACATGGATGAAGCTGGAAACCATCATTACCAACAAACTAACACAGGAACAGAAAACCAAACACTGTACGTTCTCACTCGTAAGTGGGAATTGAACAATGAGAACATACAGGCACAGGGAAGGTAACATCACACACTGGGGCCTGTTGTGGGGTGGCTTGCAAGGGGAGGGATAGCATTAGGAGAAATACCTAATGAAGATGACGGGTTCAAGGGTGCAGCAAACCACCATGACACGTGTATACCTATGTAACAAACCCGCACGTTCTGCACATGTATCCCAGAACTTAAATATAATTTAAAAGAAAGAGAAAGAAAGAAAGAAAAGAAAAAAAAAAAGAAAAAGAAAAGAAAAAAAAGAAGAAATGGGAAAAAGGAGGAAGAGAGGTAGGGAAGAATGAATGAAGGAGTGAAGCAACAGAGAGGCAAAGAAAGGAGACAGAAAGAAAGAAGAGTAGGACAGGAAGGAAGGAGGGAGGTGGAAAGGGATAGATAAAAGGAAGGAAAGAGAAGGGAAGAGAGGAAAAGGGCAGGAGAGAAGGAAGGTCAGGTGGGGAGAGGAGGAGAGGGAATGGAAGTGGAGGATGAGGAATAGATAATCCATTTTTACATATGCAAAATGTGGTTACTCTAACCAGACTAGTTTGGAAAATTTCACGTTATTTGGTGAGTTAGCCTGGTCTAATGAAATTAGCATCAGACAGGGAGTCAAAATAGTTTAGTTGTAGTTCTGAATAGATCACCAGTTTCCAGTGTAATTTTAAAGAAATATATTAACCTCATTCTTCTTTAAGCTTCTTAACATGAAAAATTAATTGTTCAGACCACCATCTTTAAGATTCCTTCTAGCCTTAAAATCCTATCCTCTCAAAAATTTCCACAATAGGAGACAAATTAAGAAAAAAATTAAAAAGATAAATACAGTGATGCTATTGAGACATTTTTTCAGTGTCTTTGTAATTGATTGGATTTATAAAACGCCTGCCTCATGCAACTAGTGTCACTTTGTATCTTAAGGTTTGTTTGACTAAGGAGTTTGGAATGAGCTTCTCACTTGGTATGTCAGCAATGAGACATGGAGATGGATAATATACTCTTAGGCTGGCAGGATTTTGACATTCATTACCAAAGATGTCGCTGTTTATGAGATCTGTGGGAGAGCTGTAATGTACTAGTACACCTAGGAGACTGGTTGTAAACTTATATTAGGCAATCAGGGAGATGATGATAAACACTACTTGAGAGAAGTTAGTGACATGAACATATTTTACTTGATGCCTGGAATACAAGAATTCAGATAAGCCTGTGCGTATGTTTAGCTCTGACAGTAGAATTTATAGTCTGTGAGTTGATCAAGTCACATAAAAATTAAAACTCCTTGAAGAAGTCAGTTGTCTACTTTTACTGATCACTTGAGCTATATGGTGCAGTTAGAGTTGCCTTTGAAATGGAAAGCATTTATTTAAGCCACAGATAAAAAGGTTGTTCTTAGGAACCTTTCAGTCACAATTTCAATTATTTTCTGACATGATAAATTTTCTTTCACAGATGCTTATACCAACTACACTACTGTAAATCTGCACTTGAAAAATGCTTTAATTTTTAACTTTGAAATATGCATTCAGCTATTTACATTTAAAAGATTGTTCACCAGTTGCTAAAACACAATGTAAATGAATACCTTCTCTTCATACTGCTTTAGACATGGAATTTTAAATGTGGTAACAGTTCTTGGAACACCCCTTAATTGTAAGCCAAAAACAAGGAGATATGAACCTTTTCAGAACTAACAACTGCAACATACCTCGTTACATATTTTCTTTGATAAATATGAACAAAGCAGGAGATTTGAAAAATGCCAAGAGCTCAAAACTTACCTGAGAACACTTGCTTCAGATCTTTCCCTACCTGAGAACACTTGCTTCAGATCTTTGTCGTTATAAACAATGCCAAAATGAAAATCTTTGCTCATAAACTTTCTTTTCGTTTTGTTTTTCCTTCAGGTTGAACATCTAGAGTGGGATGATGGAATCTAATGGTTTACATTTTCTCAGTGCCATCTGTATAAATTACCAGACTGCTTTCCAATCCAGCAGAGGTGAGAGGGCCTATCTCTGAATATTCCGATCTTTGTAACAAAAAGTATGCTAATTTAATTAAAATAGCACCTTGTTCAAATCTATTTTCCTTTTGTTAGTAGTGAAATTAACATTGGCATCTTCAACTTTTTATTGGTATACATCTTTCATTCATATTTTTACGTATCTGTGTATGTATTCAGTATTCATTAAAACTATTAACTGAACACTACTATTGGAAATGTATCTGACATAGATAGTTGGGAACTATAGTCAAATGGTTTTTAAAATGCTGCATTTTACCATCTGCCATGAAAAACAGTACCACATATTGGTGTACGAAAGGCTCGGAGGTGATGCACATTAAATAAACTTGAACATTTTTTAGTAAAAGACACCCAAATACATTGTAATACTCATCCATTTCTCATATAAGTATTAATATTTTGGTAAGCTACTGTTACATGAAAAAAAATCCTGAAAATTCACTTATATCTGTTCCTTGTCTAATTTTTACAGTTTTTCATGCTTGCATCTTAATTTAATACATATTTTGATTAAGATAATCATGATTATCAATGATCACACTATTCCATTGAGGTGAGTTTTTATATTGTCCTCGAACTTGCTATATTAATTCCAACCTCCATGCCTTGTTGTTTCCATTTCTAATATACAAGTGCAAGGGAAATTTCAGTTTGAAAGAAGTTTCAGTATGAAATTTCAATGGCAAATAAAAGCTGTGTGCAAAGTAAGTTATTGGCAAAGAGGATCACGTGAAACCAACCAAATAGTCCCATAGACATTTTTTTAAATAAACAAAGAAATGGACTATTCTAGTCTTAAAGCTTAAAATTTGCATTCGTTTTATTTGAGTTCCTTCCTCAAGAACTTACTCCCAGGCCTCTCAAAAAGTGTCAAAGAACAAAAACTCACCAAATCACTGCCTCCAATGAGATGCCAGAACCCTCATTCACCGCAATGGCTTCTGGACCCCTCCCTAATTCCTGTTTTCATTTCTTTCCCACTATATAAACCCCTAGTTTTAGTCAGTCAGGGAGATGGATTTGAGGCTAAGCTCCAGTCTCCTGTGCTGCAGCGCCTGATGAAAGCCTCTTCCCTGGCAATAGTTGCTGCCTCGTGATTGCCTTTCTGCGCAGCAAGCAGCAAGATCTGGGTGGAACCCTGGGTGTTTTGGTAGCATGTGCATGAACAGAAGAGAAAGGTTAATGAACAAAGAGTAGAATGAAGCAGACATGAAAAACATATGGACTCAGAGAAGAAACAACAAAGAGAGAAGCCATAGCACCATAGGTATTCATGGCTTACCCCGTGAAGCCCAGCCACATTCCTGACTATGGAAGCCTGACATTTCCCAGAACTATTCAAAGTAACCCTTTGAAACTAACCTAATTTAATGCGTTCCTGTTCTTTGCAATTTAATGAATTTTGACTAGAACTCTATTATCTCTTTTGACTCTGTGGGCCAGAATCGGGCACAGAAAGAGTCAATCTAGATCAAGGAAAGATTAGTAGATCAAGGAAATGGTTGCATAGGTATCTTTGGAAGTACAACTGAAAACTAACATGGCTTTCTTCCTTAAACCTTTGGATGTGTTTGTCTCTCCTTTCCTATCCTCCTCTAGCTATTATTTCTTGTACTATATGTTTTGACATTTTATTATATTTTGTACCATTCATGAATTTCTTTATATCTTAATATATAATCCTTTTACAAATTTAATTCTATACCATTTCATTTTATTGCCTAATTCATATTTTGTTTCCTCTACTACTTGTAAGCTTTTTGACTACAGAGACTATATCACACGATCTTATATTTTTCCATACATGAAATACTCACTAAAAGCTACTTGAATTAATATTTTGCAGTAAAGGTCTAGGGAATTTTCCCACCGTACTAAAAATTACATTTTCTACCTAAAAAATCTGGTAATGATTCTGCCTTCCATTAAATGCTGTGAAATACATGCGGAATGTTATGTGTAAAAAATACTGTCTAGGAAGTTACTGTTTTGAGACAGAACACATATAAAATAAGTGATTACATGCCATCATCCTCCTTTGCTCAAATTTTTTGTCGCTGTTCCTGCTTGGTGCAGAAGTATAGTCTTCCAAGGTGAAAGGCCTTGAGAAAGGAAAAAAGTTGTACAGGATAAAACTATATTTCAAGGAAGCCTGACTTCTGTCATTTATTTATTGGAGACAGAGTTGCACTGTGTCGCCCAGGCTGCAGTGCAGTGGCACATTCACTGCAACCTTTTCCTCAGGCTCAAGCGATCATCCTATCTCAGCCTTCCAAGTAGCTGGGACAACAGGGTGCCACCCTGCTCAGCTACTTTTTTTAAAACTTTTTGTAGAGACAAGATCTCACCATATTGCCCAGGCTGGTCTTGATCTAATGGGCTCAAGTGATCTTCTCACTGAAGCTTCCCAAAGTGCTGGGATTAAAGGCATGAGCCACCTCACCGGGTCTGTTTCTGTCATTTAGTATCGGTGCCCAAGTAGTATTGGAGGAAAAGGCTTTGCTATGAAGAAAATTCACATCTTTAGTTAGGTTTATGAATTGCAAATCTAACTTGTGTGAAAGTTTTATTAACAACATAAGCAGTTCAAATCTTAAATACCAAGTACCCTGAAAAAGATGGGGTTCCTATAATAAAAAGGAAGGAAATAAAAAAGTTGACCCCCCCATCATGAATTCCCATTAATCTTACTTTCCTCTGTCTGGTCCTTTTGCTCTCACAAAGCAATGGCTTTCACACCAGGATGTATTTTTTCTGATGAAAACCTACCAATGAGATCTTTCAAACATATATTTACCCTCTATTTAATATTATGGGGCTTGAGTTTCTGCCGAGCATATGTTAAACCAAGACGTGGGACTGATGAGATACCTGTTTTAGGTACTAAAACTCACTCTTACGTAAAAAACATACTTATATTTAATACTCAAAGCTATATTATGCTGGTTTCAGTATAATATACAATAATAATACAAGGAAATGAATATTCACATTATAAATAATTCAATGCAAAGAAATGTTCTGATGGTAATGTTAATGAAGAAAGAAATAGAAGATTTAGGAAAAAAGTAAAGAAATGAAGAGACATTTCACAGTTTATCAAGATAGGCTTTGCTAAGCTCAAAGAAAACCCAGATGAACTTACAAAACCTATAGTATGAGAACATGTAGCAAGATAAAATAAAGGTGGAAGTTAACTTTAAATTTTTACATGTATTTTTATCATACATATTTTATTTAAAAAGTACTTTTCAGGTAAATGTTTGCATATTAAATTCTTTTTCCCATTGGATTCTGTAATACTATTTGAAATAAATTCCTATGATATAATAAATATCAAGAAATGAACCAGCTTTTTAAAACTGCATTTATATTGAAGAATGTTTTTTTCCATAAAGCAGTAATAATTATTCTGTAATTTGTCATAAAATGAGACTGTCATATAGAAAGGATTATGTTAGCACTTGCCAAATTAATATAGTTTAAAAAAAAAGTCAGCTTAATAAAACTGCCACTAAGGATCTACCTAAACCCACATTGTTTTGATTGTTTATGACTCTGTTTGTTATATATTCTTTCATTTTGCAAAAGATGTTGTGTTTTACAAATAAATTAGTGTATTGGGACCTAAAGGAAAATGAAATAAGAATGTTAAGTAACCACTCTTGAAAATATAAATAAACAATGGAGAGGTTTGGACCTGAAACCGCAGTGAAAATAACTAAGTGTTCATATAGTTCATGCTGTATTACCATAATTTTACAAATCCCTGAATAAGCCAGATTTAGAGATTATAAAATGAAAAGGAAAGAGATTAGACTTCAGTCTTTTTGGGGATCCTCTGATAAGTGATAAAAAGAATTGGTGCCAGCTTGCAGCAATCCTATTTGGTGTCACATAGAGCGTTTTATATTTCTTTGGGATTTAGTAACCCACATTCGGATATTATACTATTTTGAATGTTCCCTCAGTTATAAACCACTTACGTCATCTTTTGTCTTTCATCCAAATCTATTACATGAAATATTTTTATTTATCATCTACTCCTCCTAGAAAATAAGTTCAATGAGATCAGATAGTTTGTTTTCACAATTTTAATAATCATCAATGTCTAGTTCAAAGTTGGCATATAATATATATATTGAATTAATGAATGAATGTTTGAGTTATCATGTGTATGATTGTCTTACTGAGGTCAAAGAGCTAAACTACAGCCCGTGGATAGGGGTTTTCCCTAAAAGAAATTGTCATTTGTGTCACTTCTGAGGAATTAAATGGGGACTTAAGAAACTGAGCAATGGAAACTTCCTCTTTCTTTGGAAGTCAGTGTTGAATTTTTATTTGCAGGCTGGAGATATGGATATAGGGGATGAGCCTCCTGCCTTTAATTAGCAGCAGCCCCAGGGTGAGAAAAAGAAGCAACCATATAAAATTCTCTAAAGTACATCTGGGGAGGTGCAGGAGTTAACAGGTAACTTAATGACACTCTACTATCCGATGTCCAAATTTGATTACTTTTAAATGAAAAATGTCAAACTGATCTCAGTTGGACTGTGTGAAATGATAACCATATTACTCCTACCCTTAGGACAACGTAATTCATGACAAAACATAATATAAAAGTGGTAGTGTATCCTTCCCTCAGGAAACCAGAGAGACAGCACCGGCCCTGATCACTGACAGTGGAGATCAGTACTCACAGAATATCAGTCTTCGTTGTCAACAGAGGCAATGGAATCCTAGCATAACCTGGAATAGGAACAATGAGTTTGAGGAATGGTTTTTGAACTGAAGCAAGGCAGAGCATGTGGTGTGGGGCACTCATTTCTGGCAAGATCTGATGAAGGTGATCACAAGGTTTAATCTGTTTATACAGACACATACTGTATGTATCTTTATATATAAAAAGACGCATATGTATACATATGTATCTGTATAAACATGCCTCTTTACGTGAATATACATATACAGAAATATGTATATACAGTGTATTATTTTTACTGGATTGCATGTAATAAAATATATGTTTTTTCATACTTCTCTCAATGTATTTTAAATATATATATTCATTGTAGCAATCCAGTAAAAGTAGTGTATCCTAACACTAGTGATCTATTCAATATCGAAGCATGTAATATTCAGTTTTAGGTAGCCAAAAATCTCTGTTGTAACACTATTCTTACCTAATACTAATCTTTTATTACATGGGTATGATTCCTTGAGATCAATGAGATTATGGATGACTCACATGAAGTTATCACCTGTCAGAGTAGAAAAAGAGCATAGGCTTTGGCTTCAGGAAAATCTGCCAAGTTTCAACATCTAAGATGTGGTAAAATGAGAAAGATTCTACAATCACAATGAAAGCCTTGATATTAGAAACTTCAATTTCTGTCATATTGTGCTAAGGATTTAGGTCTTTATATTACCTGCTCAGTATCTGGGCTTTTGCTATAAAGGGAGGTAACTATTGAAGGATTTAAGCAGAAAGTGATAGGATCATATGTGCTTTTCAAAAGATCACTTGGGAATGTATATGGAGATCCCTGGAAAGCATTCAGAGGAAGATCATCATTTATGTAATGATTCATCGATCTCAGTTTGAAAGAGTAAGAACCTGAAATAAGGTAGCAGTAGGAGAGACATACAGAAATGTGCACAAATGTGAGTTCTTAAGAAAGTACAGTGGAAGGCATTTATTCACACGTGAGGGTGTGAAAATGGTGTTGACATAGGAAAAATAAAGAACTCAACCCAAATGTTTTACTTAAATTGGAAACCTTGAATATTAGAGATAATGCCCGGGACCTATCAAACCCTTTTCCTCTTCGGTACACAACCAGACTGCATTTCCCAGGCTTCTGTGTACTTGTCTGAGGCCACAGGGGTAAGTTGTAACCCATATGATTGGCTGTATGTATTCTACTTTCAGACATGGGAAAACAAAAATAAAAACAAAACAAAAATACTTCAATGCCATTCTTCATGTTTTCTTTTTTTTTTTTTTTTGCCTCCACTGGCTGCACTGACAAAATACAGTGGGGAACTCTGAGGCCTTAGTGGGTGGATAGAAGTGGCACTAGATGTGTCCTTGAATAAATGCAGAGAGCTGAGCCCTTCCCTCCATCCTGACACTAATCCATATGCCCTAAATTGAACTAATGCATCAGGAAAAAAGTAGCGCTTTTTAACATGGAAGCTCCTAAGATTTCATTGTGTGTTTTATTATATAATAGCTCACCTCCCTGTCTAAAATCTGCAAGTGTTCTATAAATTCTCTAGTAATGAGAAATTTGATATGATACTTAGGACAATGCTGCACATTATTATTTTGTTGTTTTGTTCTGGTTTTTGGTTTTGAGACAGGGTTTTGCTCTGCCGCCCAGGCTGGGGTGCAGTGGCACAATCAGAGCTCACTGCAACTACCTACTGGGCTCAAGTGATCCTCCTGCCTCAGCCCCCAGAGCAGCTGGGACTACAGGTGCGCACTACCATGCTAGGTTAATTTTTTAAATGTCTAGTAGAGACAGGGTTCTGCCATGTTGCCCAAGTTGGTCTTGAACTCATGAGCTCAACTGATCCTCCCACCTTGGCCTCCCAAACTGCTGTGATTACAGGCAAGAGCCATCATATCCAGCTATATTTATAATGTGTTATTGATTTTAGTGCTTAATATGACTAGTTCTATGGTGTGATAATTTTTCTTAATATTTTTGTTGTACTTATAAAATTCTAAGTTAAAAGTGTTTTCTTATATGTTAGGAAGAATATTTAAATTAGGTAAGTCCAGCTGAGACCTGTGATCAGAATTATGGTGGTTGGAGTGGGCAGAGCAGCTAAACAGCAGGTTACTTACCAGCTGGTTATATTACTGTATTATATTAAGCCACCTAGAGACAGTTACTATTCTTTAACGTATTTTTGTAGCTTATGTCATTATATTTGTTGCTGATTTGATCATTAATTCAATTATTTGAGATTTGGTATGTAAAAATAATATGTATAATAAAACACCAAAAAAAATACCACAACAGATTTTTTTTTTTTGCATACATTGGTATTGGAGTTCATTTGCTTGTTTTGTACAGTGTAAAATCTTCAATAAATCTTAAGGTGAAAGCTGTTTTATTTTCATAGATTCAGTCTTTAAGACTCATCCTAATTGCCATATTGAATCCGTGCAAATTGTTGATTTAAGGCCCCTTGCACTGAGAATTTTAAAATATTGGGCAGGAAGGCAAAATTTTAACTATTTGTTAAAATATCCTAATCTGCATTATATATATTTTCAATTAACAACCCAATATTTTGAACTCATTTTTTTATGAAGTATTCTAAAAAGCAAGATTCAGTCTTAAATATTCTACCTTAAAGAGAACATGCAAATGTAATTGGCAGATAATAATTATCTTTTTTCTCCAATGTAAAATGGATTGACACTGGTGCAGTAATAATTCAGTACATCCCACTTAAGCTAAAATTTACTTCATTAGATTTTCATAGTTCATATCCTACAAAAGGCATAAGTTCCAAGCTTTATGATCATTGTAAGTGCCTATTTCTTTCAAGAAAATAGCCTAACCCTATTTTATAAAAATTTTATAAAATATGGGTACCCTATTAAGAATGAATTATTTTAATGACATATTTAAAGCAGTACTAAAATAGAACTCAATTTTTAAACTGCTTCTGCTTAAAGAATACTTAACACATACATTTACCTTATTAAATTAAATTTAAAATTCATGTTACAGTCCAAAAGTTCCTTTCCTTAGAACATCTATTAAGCATTTATCGAAGACAGTGAGTTAATTTAAGATTTTAATATATCACTTCATCAAGAAATAAAGTATTGATATAAATCACTTAAATTTTGATAGGTCCTGAAATGCTTAATTCCAATACGTACCTTATCATTTAGAGACAGAGATACTAGACATTACTATAAATTGTATTCCGTAATAAAAAAAGACAACTCTGTAGTTAAAATTCTGGAAGGCATGTCATAAAAATTGACTTGTCATAGGGTTATACAAGGCTCCTTTCATAAAGGAACTCTGTAAGCTAAGCCAATTTTTATTCTGATTGGCATGACTTACATTAGTCAAAAGGACCTGCATGGCCAAAAGTCTCTTTCTGAAAGTTTATAAAAATGCAGCCAAATGTTAATAATTCCTGGAAAAATTAAGACAATCAGAAATAGAAATAACAGGTGGCAGATTTAGTACAGCATTCCCATACTAAAATGTATGATATTTTCCAGTTTTTGCAGAAGCTCAAAATTGGCACTACTGAGCACAGAGACTGCCTTTATTGGATATCATTTTAGGTTTCAATTCTCTAGTGGTTAGCATTTTTGGAATAGACAGATATTTCAAATTAACTCATTTTTTCCTAAGTTTCACATTACAGTGGCAAGGAATAAAAATTCAATTTTTATACTCAAAATTATTATTCAATGAATCAACATTGAACTAGCAGTGGTTAACTACCTAATGATAGTTTAACCATTTTCGTTAAATTCAGAGGAAAAGAGCTTTTATATCACAACTAAGTCACACTTAAATATTTTCTTTAAACCAGAATTTTTCTTATCTATTTATAGCTTGAAATTAGTAGTTTTCTCTATGTTATAGAAACTAAACTAAACCTAGTGAATCAAAGTTAAGAACAATTTAGTATTTAAGCTCATGAAAGTAATGCATTTAAAGGGCGTTCGAAAGTGTCTTAGTGGAAGTGGTTACAGTAAGTTCTATAGAAAATAATGATATCGAGATAGCAGCTTTATAAACTAAGCTGTTTTCTTCACAGCAATTTTAATAAGAGAGCTGTAATAACCATCTCCACCTCCTTCTTCCCTGTTTTCTTGTACTCACTCCACCTGACATTACCTATCCATTACTGCAGTGATTTTACTCTTCTCAAACTCACCAGTGATCTTCATTTTTCCAAATGCAACAGCCACACCTTACACTCTATTTTACTTGTCCTCTTAGCAGCATCCAACATGATTGGCAGTTTTGACTATTAACCATCCTCTGCTCTTCTCTGATACCACTTCTAAATTTTTCTCACACTGCCTGCCTTTTCCTCCTCTGTTGGACATATACATACGGGTAGGTCCCAGAGCTCTGCTTTGGGCTCTCTTTACCTGTTGATGTTTTTCTTTTTTTTTAATCTACAGAATCTCATATATTTTGGGATCTTTAGGTTTAAATATTTACTCTGAATTTATAAGTCCAGCCCTGACCACTCACTCAAATTCCAGAACTATATATCTAATTGCCTTAAACTTAGCAGGCGTGAACACATCACTTGGCTCTTTCTTATACTTGTTCCTCATCTGTACTTTTGCATCTCAGCCACAAGCACAATTATTAATATGTACCCAGTTACTCAAACTAACAGCTTAAAGTTATACTTACTTCCTAGATTTCCATTATATTTAATACCTAGCTCTTCAAGATGTCTTGATAATTTTAAATCCAAAACACATTTCAAATCTTTCACTTGTTTATAGTTATTTTAATAATAAAAATAATATAAATATTATCTCTAGTCTCCTAAAACCTCTGAAGTCTTCTAATTGGTTTTCCTGTTTCTATTCTTTCCTTGGTATCCCCCTAAAACATTCAAAGTCATGGCTAAAAGGTCTAATTAAGTCATCTGATTTCCTCTTTAAAATCCTTCTATGTCTTCCCACTTAGACTTTACATAAAAGCAACATTCCATACCCTACAAGGTCCTCCCTTACAAGGTCCTGTGCGATCCAGCTCCTACTCTCCTGTCTGACTTTTCTCATGTACCCCATTACACACATCTTTCACTCACACTGAACTTATTTCTGTTTTTCAAATATGTCAAAACTCCTTTTGGAGTCAGGGATCGTGACACTATCTATGGAGCTAGTGAGTGCCAGGGGCATTCTGACCCCAGGTTATGACAGCACAATTTTTTTTAGCATTAATTCTCATTCACTGATGACC